TTTTTTTAAAAATCAAAGGAGCAGCTACTAATAATTACACTTAAATTAGCCAGCCTGGTACTTTTAACCACAGCGACCATCAGTGTGCTTTTAGATACCTGCACTGGCTGTTAGTGTTGTTTTCTGTTCAATTCTGAAACGAATTTCCTTTACCACTTCCTCAGCTGAGGTTCCAAAAACAACTGATTTTTGTGGTATCTGAGGATTGTTCTGTTCTTCAGAGTTCCCTTGGGAAGGATTTCCTGGGAGCTGCAAATCAGGAGGACTGTCTTCAAAAAGTAGTGGCGAGACAGAGCCGGTGTGCTCACTCAGCTTATTTGCTTCCTTTGCTGGTTCATCTAAATGGCAAATAAGAACAGTAACTTCATTTTAAGAATTACATACTCCTTAAGTCAGGTTTCCCAGATTTTCTTTCTTTAGTTTCCTGTGTTTCTACTTTCCATACATAATTTCTGAAAACAAAGCAAATTTAGTTTAGTTTTATTATTGGGAACCAAGATCAGAAATGCTATCATTTATATTATTTAACAAAAAAAATACTGTTCAGATTTTTCTCAAAAGAGTATTACTCTTTTTCCATACTGTACATTTAAAAAAGAAATATACTATGTAAAACACATTAATTTTGAAAGCTATTACTTTTTCCTTAAAAAAATAACATTTTGCTCTTTTTTCCAGAACCGGGGATTGAACTCAGGCCCTTGCACTTGCCAGGGAGGTGCTTATTCTACTGTGCCATCTCTGTGGCCCCAACATTTTGCTCTTTTACTGTTCTCAATGAAGAAAAAGACCTTCATAATGTCAGGATTTAGGAATGAGAGGGAAAGGCCTTTAGCAACATAAAATAATTATACCTAAAAAAAGTCAGTGTTGTAGTTAGAGGGAAAATATTTTTTTCATTTATAGAAGAAATTTTTTTGTGTTAATCTGAGTTTTCTTTTTCAAATGCTGATTTCAGTTGGACTTGTTTATAAAGTACTACTTTTATTGTATTTGGAAAAAACAGAAGCGATCTCTGATAATTCTTTTATACAAAGTCTTAGGATTGACTGGGTCAGCCAAGACACAAGTGTAAGGCAAAGGAACTTTATTGACACATAGGAAGGTAAACTACTTGAAAAAGAAGCAGTCTATCAGGAACCTTTTCTGAAGATAAGGCAAACAATGTAACACACACTGGATTAGTTTCCCATTTTAAAGTGTGTAATATGAATGAAGTTACAGCAGATGTTTTCTAAATCCGCATTCTCAGAGCGCACTCACAGTAAGAATTGTTTCCCAACTTCCATTAGCTGTTACTTACCTGCTTGGGCTCCTTTTCATTGTCCTTATTCCATCTTGAAAAGTCAGAGCAAGCTGAAGCGCTGCTCCCCAGAGCCCTCCTTCCTGCCAGCTGCCTGCAAGCCGCCTAGAGCCTGGCCTGCACCCTCTAGCAACGCCCTTCCTTGCCTCTAGACTGAAACAGCCTTTTCATCCCCAGAACTGAAGCCACCAGAGCACGACACCAGGACAAAGCACTCTGTTCACATCGCAGGTGCTACAAAGTGTGTGTGCTTTCAGTTTCCTACACAGCCTGGCACTCAGCATCCGAACATGGCAGAGTAAACATTAAGTAACAATGACTATTCTATTTTTAAGTAGATAAGGTAGTTAGCAATATGTTTTCAAAGAGAAGCACCTTTTAGAAAAGGAGTAAGCAGTACAAAAATGTCTGACTTAAATGAAGATACATCAATCGCTCTGACTACTGTGGGCGTGAGACTGCCCAGGCCTGAAAGCACGCTTTACAGGGATTTACAGATCAGGAAAAAAAGTTTAAACTACTTCATCATTTAAAAATATGAACTGCATGAAAAGGACAAGATACAAATAAACATGTTAAAGGCAACAGAAACGAAGAAGTCACCTCCTCATTGTGAGTTTAGACATATAGCAAGTGAGAAGGACTTCAATAGAGAATGACAACATTTACCTTAAGCCTAATGTAAATTCTTTGAAAAGAGTAAAAGTAATTGCTATAAAAGCTGACAGGAAACCAGACATGGTAGTACCAGCACACTGGTAGGCTGAGGTAAAAGAATTACAAGTTGGATTCTGGCCTGGAGAACTTAGGAAAATTCTATCCCAAAATTTAAAAATAAAATATAAAGGTCTGGAGATGTGGCTCACTGTGAAGGCCCAGGATTCAATTTCCTAGGAGGAGGAAGAGGAAATGGAGGAGGAGGAGGACAAGGAAGAGGAGGAAGAGAAGAGAAGCTGCTGTCATCTACAGGGTATGCTTTGTTGGAATCATTTGTGATTTATCTTCCTATTCTGATATGAAAATTGATGAAGTAATAATGAGATTTTAAGCAAAGTGACACCAGGCTTCAGGTGTCATGTCCCCAAACCACAAAGCTACACCAAAGAAGGAAAGAAAATATTTGCTGTATGCATCGATGTCTAGAAATAATTACTGTTTAATGTTTCTATTTAAAAAAAAAAAAAAGGGAGACCTGCCCCTTTGAGCTTTAAATAAAGTAATGAAGTTGTAACTCAGTGTCTATGTTTAACTTGCTCCAAATGACTTGAGCTCCAAACAACATGGGAGACTTATGATTTTATGTCATTTTGTCCATCATTTTGCTTCAAGGAAATTTAAAGACCCCACCACTGCCCGGCCCCTCTGACGCAGCACACACACGGAAGCTACACACGCAAAATGGGCTGTGGCTTGTGAGCAGAGCCTTGGGTCACCCCTGCATCCAGGCAATCTGTGCCCAGGGGGCCACTCTTCTGGTCCAGTGCAGACATTGTATGTGATCATACCGTTGCAAAAAGCTAGCAGCATTGTATGCAAGGTTTCTGGGCACCTCCTTGGTTAGCTAATAGGGGGCTGTTTGGAAATCTTATGGAGTTGGGAAACCTCTGTGGCACTCCTATGTAAGTCATTATGCGATCCAAAGCAGAGAAGGAAATGGGAAAGCGTTCATTTTGGAAGGGTTGACAAGTGTCACAGTTGCTACGCTATTATCAAATTAGAGAAAACCTGGCAAGTGAAGAAAAATAAAATCAATCAATGTTTTGGCATATCTAAGGTTAATCATTTCAAAATCTAACTTTCATCAACATGACAAAAAAGGCCATCCTAAGTAAAGAACTTTCTCTGCTGCAACACCATCTAAACCCTTTGATGCTACAGTTTAAGGCAGTAAGTAATACAGCTTCCTTGTTTAGTGACCCTCTAGAATAACAGTAGCATTTGTCTAAAAGTGATATTCTACACATTTAACTAAAATACCTAGTAGGTGTACTTTAAGCTTTTGACTTTTCATCTTTATAAAGATGCAGCTAGTCTTACTACCTACGTGTGCTACTGAGTTAACTGGTTAATTCAGAGGTTGTTTTTCTGTTCCACTGTTTTTATTTTGATAGCTCTAATAAATTACTTACCATTTTCTGCCCAGTTTCCAGTTTTGATGAAATAACTTCTTTTGTCCTCAGGCCAATTTTGTCTTTCCTGTAAGTGCTTTGTTATGTTCAAGTAGGCTTCATCAAGACTCATGGCCATAAAATTGGGGTCATAATCAGCAAGTATTTCCTTAACCTTGAAAAGGAACGAAAAAGGATTACATTTTGCTGCCACAGCAAAGCCTCCTGTCATACACAGATGGGAGGAAGCATTAATATTCTTATTTTGCAACCACAGTAATGATCTTGCAATCAATAGTTCATGAATTTAAGGAATGAATAATTTACTGCCAGTGCCTATTTGCCAAACTTTCTTTTGTATTAAAGTAGATCACAAAGGCAGAAGACCATGAAATAGCATTGTTCGATCCAGTCTCTTTTTAGCCACCTACATCTAGATATAGAAAGCAATTTAAGTAAATCTCAGAAGGCATCATCCTGATAGGCAAATGAGGATGGCTTAGGTTTCAGGGAGCTAGTTAAAAGCAGAGGGCGGAACGATAGGATTCTGTTCTGTCTCACTGTTATGATGGTTTGCTCCTTTTAAAAAGGATAAAGAATAATCTTATTCAAAGGTACTGTGTTGGGCTGGGGAGATACCTTGGCAGTCTAAGTGCCTGTCTGGCAAGTGCAAGGTTCTGCGTTTGATCCCTGGTACCACATGCTGTGCCAAACCCGGGGCCACGCTGTGCCAGTTACTACCAGAACCAGGCATGGTGGTACATACCTATAATCCCAGCACTGGGGAGGCTGAGACAAGAGGATCACTACAAGCCCAAACTGCATAGTGAGACCTTGTACCAAAAAAA